ATCATCATCATCATCATCATCCGTCTCACCTAACACCCCGCGTGGCTGAGGGCGATCCACCAGTAGTGCCCGGGACTCTGATAGAGAGCCTTCCAAGCCCAAAGAAGGCCCCAAAGCCCAAAACACTAAGCCTCAATAAACCAATGAATAAGGCCCTCCTCGTTGCTTGGGGTCTTGACGTTCGTTCGCAACGAGGGTTCTTCCACAGTCGTTGCGTTCTGAAGCCATTAACAAAAGACTGAGAGCCTTTTCTTGGACCCTTTTCAGAAGGAAATGAGGCAATCGACAAAGATACCACCATCTTTGTTGATACTATAGGGACCTGAATACTTACCAGTTCTATTTTGGGGCTCCGGATCATAGTTTATTGAAGATACCCCAAACAAGTTTCTATTTATTTTGGCCGCTACATTAGTTGGTAGTCTCTTCTTCCCCAAAGCCGCGCCTTGCTCTGCGTGGATGCTTTGTCCACGGCCTCTCGTGCAAAGACGCGAACCTCGGCGACACCTGCCGACTTCAGGTTTAGGAGTTTACGCAGGGTTTAGGGGTTTAGGGCTTTAGGGTTTAGGGTTTAGGGTTTAGGGTTTAGGGTTTAGGGCTTAGGGTTTAGGGTTCAACTAATTACGGGTTGGGGCCGAGGATCCATCTTTTAAGGATCGAGGTTTCGGGTTCAGGGTTTTTCAGGTGTGTTTGCATCATGAGTGCTGGCTGGTGTGGACGTCAGACCGTAGGAGGCAGCCCAGGTTGTATGTCCCTGTAGGGGAACTCCCTGCTAAACCCTAGACCCTAAACCCTAAACCCTAAAATAGCTGCTAAAATCGACAGAACACTCCTCTGCAAGACCCTGCCATGAAAGCCCTCAGAACATACCAAAGCCCTCGTTATTGCCAGAAACCTACACCAAAAGTCCAAAAGCTATTCAAACCCCCAAGACTATAAAGCTCAACCCCCCCTACTCGTAAAGAAGCCCTCGTTTTGGAACCCTTGTGGGAGCCCCTATCGAAGGCACCCCCCCTTCCATGTCCCTACGGGACGTTTGAAGTGGCCTTCGGAGCATTGCGAGGCCACCGAAGCGGCAGACTCCACCTCACAAGACGGTGTACAGCTTTACCCTGACCCCCCAGGTACCTACTTTATGAGGTACTAGAGCCCCTAAGGCCCTATATAGTAGGTACCTGGGGGGGTTAGGGTTAGTTCATCTTTCAGCGCTTACATCGTTTCGGTCTTCTGGGAACCTTCAGCATGTTTGTCCTTTAGGCCCAGGGTTTAAGGGTTTATAAAAGGCTGTAGGCCCAGGCTTAAGATGGTTTAGGGTTAGGGTTCAGTTAGGGCATGCAAGCCGGTGGTTCCCTTCGAAGCTCTACCTCATGACTGATGAAGGAATCACTCATCACTCTCGCTGGCCAGGTCCACCAACGCCGGGGAGTAGCTGGCAAAGACGAAAAACATGAGACCGGCAAGAGCAGTCAAAATGCCTGCAGCCCAAAGCTTGCAAAGCAGTCGGCCAATGCCCGGTTGAAACACTAGGTGATGGCCCCGAGAGTAAACCCTATACACTGAACCCCTGAACAACCCTTATAAGACCCTGACCATAAACACTAGAGCCCCTTACAGGACCCTCAGCATTCCCCCTAAACCCTAAACCCTAAACCCAGCATTCCCACACCAAGAATCCAACTTGCAGATGTTGCAGATGTTACTCCGTGCTCAACCGTACAACGAGCCCCAGCCCGGCGGCCTTTGCGTCGACGCGCTTCAGTGCATCCTCCAGTTGCCTCTTCAACTTGCTTGGGGCAGGGAGGGGCTATGTGAAATTATCTCTATCTGTCTATCTATCTACCTATCTATCTTATCTATATCTGTCTATCTATCTACCTATCTATCTTATCTATATCTGTCTATCTATCTACCTATCTATCTTATCTATATCTGTCGATCTATCTACCTATCTATCTTATCTATATCTGTCTATCTATCTACCTATCTATCTAAACACCAAACCCTAAACCCTATTCAACTATCTAGACGTACATCTTTGGTGGGCTAGGGGAGGAGAGGAAGATATCGCCGAGAAGCATTCCGAAGCGCCCGGAACGCTAAGTCCTGAACCCCTGCGTTAAGCCGCAGCAAGGTTTAGGGTTTGGGGTCTTTAGGGTTTAGGGTTTAGGTGGCGTTGAACCTCAACAAATCAGCCGACGTCTGGGCGGTGCTTTCGGAATGCTTGTAACTGAAACCTGCAAATGCCTGAAATTTCCTCTGCGCTTGCGATGTTCCAATAACACCAAGAATCAGCACACGCCGCAACAAAAGGTCTCGTAATGCCATGCTTTGAATATGAAGATTGCCAAAAAATGTGGATTCCGCTCCGGATCAGTACCCAGAAAAATTTGCATGTAAACCTCTAAGACTACACCCTAAACCGTACTCTCAAACCGAAAACCCTAAACCCTAAGCCCAAACCCTAAACCCGAAGGCCCTAATCCCTAAACCCCCAAGCCCGAAGTCGAGTCCAAAGGCACGCCTGTCGCTGGACTGGCAGTGCTCCACATCTGCCACGATGCCTGCTTTTGGGGTTTAGGGGTGTAGGGTTTTTTGGGTTTGGGGTGTAGGGCTTTAGGAGTTTAGGGTTGTGGGGCTTTTGGGGTTTAGGCGAAGGCTTTAGGGGTTTTGGGTTTAGGGTTTAGGGCTCTAGGGTTTTATTGTTTAGGGTTTAGGGGTTTGGAGTTTAGGCTTTTAGGGTCTTGGAGTTTTTGGGTTTAGGGCTGCAACAAAAGCTACAACTCTGACAAGCTTACGGAACCGCTAAAACCTCAAACTCTGCAGCTCGTGTGTCCCAGAAGACTAAAGCCCCAAAGCTGCAAACCTAGTGGGTCAGCGATGCGCTCTTGCTGCGGTTTCGGAGTAGTCGTGTAGCTGCAGAAGATGATGAAGACGGCCATGTAGCCGTGATCAGGAATCATGGCTGCTGTTCTTCTTGAGCATCTCCATACTCTCGGACGCAGCCAGGGTGACGTTCGCCGACGAGTTCTTCCACTCCGGGAGCTTGCCAGTCTTCGGATCCCGGCATTCTGAGTGGAGGCCTAAGCTTTGGGGTTTCAGAGGTTTTAGAAGTGGCCTGAAAATATATGGCCAATTGGCATATGAAGATATGATTATGGGGATGTCGGGGTTACGAGACAAACTCACAGCTACAATGCTTGCAAGTTGTGCTCTTCTTACAAAGTTTGAAAGTCCCCTACCTGATCCATGCTCTACTGTTGCTGAATATTACAAGAAACCCGCCCGAAATTGCGAAACCAAAACTTCAAAAACCGGCAATCCTACTGCTTAAACACCCAAAGCCCCAAAGTGGCCAAACCGTCAGCCCTCAAACCCTAACCTTAAACCCAAAGCGCTAGACAACTTTCAACTCTGAATCCGTAAACCCTCAACCCCTCAGTCCTTAAACCCCCTAAACCCCTAAACCCCTAAACCCCTAAACCCCTAAACCCTAAACCCCTAAACCCTAAACCCCTAAACCCCTAAACCCTGGATCCTAAACCCTCAACAGTCCGAAAAGCCCTCGAACCCTGAAGGGCTAAGAATGCCCAAGCCCAGGCAGTCTGAGGACAGCTCGTAGATACTTAGGGGCCATTTTTTGCTTAGGGTTTAGGGTTTAGGGTTTAGGGTTTTGGGCTTAAGGTGATGGAGTCTGAGTCTACGCTTTGGCGATGACTGCCTTGGAAGGTGATCCAATACATCGTGCTCGAATACAGGCAGGATTGCTACAAGCTCACGCGATGCTTGCTGGAGAGCCATGCACCTGTACGTAGGCTCAACCGACTCACGAACGAAACCTAACGAACGAACACAACGGACGGGTATGCAAAGGAAAATGATGCGGTCAGACCATCAAGGAAAATCTGAGCAGCTCCGTACCCCGGAGCCCACTACATCTTTGAGTCCTACATCCAACCCGACCTTAGCTGCACCCGAGACCCACCCCAATCATTGAAGCCAAAAAAACGCGAGCCCTCGTTTCGAAACCTTAACACCCAGACCTAGTTCGCATCATTGAAAGCCCATTTGCTGCCTTACTAAAACCTTCCAATATCGGGGCCTGAATAATTGCCTATTCTATTTTGGGGGCTGCTTGTTATAACTATGCAAAAATATACCCGAAAACCCTATTCTAATTATTCAGGCCCTTATACTAACTTATAAACCCCAAACCCTAAACTCAAGGCCTTTCCGTGCTTCACTCTGCTCCGCACACACCTCCGGCGTCGCAGTCAATGTTCACGGGCTTATCCCCATATTGGGAACCCTGCCACACACAACCCTAGAGCCCTGAGTAGCCCGAATTCCATATTGTGGTACTGTAAATGCTCAAACTCCGTAGCATGAAGGCAGTTTACTCCAGAACCTGCCCCTACAACCCCTATCTCCTAGAGCAAACTTAGGGCACCCCTTTTCCGAATGTTCAGCACAATTAATCGAAGTACAACTACAAGGGCACTACTGGGCGACCTGGACATAGGCCTGTCCTGCTGCCACCAGTATTTTGCACTGTGCAACATCTCCTGCAGCGACACTGTGTCGGATGCCAGGATGTCCAAATCGGCTACTGCGGCGCTGTCCGAGTCGACCTGGCCCTCCTCGACCATGCTTCCCTTCCACCCATCCCGAAAGGTTTTGTGGTTGTCGACTCTGGTTGCCTTGTGGGTCCAGTACTTGGCCGCCTGGATGGTTTCAACCTGCAGTGTGCTAACAGACACCACTCATTAACACACAGTTTCAAACACATAACTCGGATCCCGAACATGCACTGTAAAGACCCTATGAAACAACGATGGAAGCCTAGACAGCAGAATCATTACAGCTCTCATACGCACCCTTACAGGACCCTCTCGAGGAGCCGGGTTTTCAGTATCAAGGAGCCTATATTACTCGAAACCATAAAGAGGGCTCATCATGCCACATTACAGATCCCTTACAGAAGCTCTCAAAGCAACCCTTCAAGGATAGCACAAGCCTATATTTTAGGGTTTAGGGCTTAGGGTTTGGGGGTTTAGGGGTTTAGGGGTTTAGGGTTCAGGGGTTTAGGGGTTTAGGGGTTTAGGGTTTTGGGTTATAGACCCTTTTAACAGGGTCCTTTCTAGCAAGCCCTCTTGGGAATCCATCAAGGAACCCTAAACCCAAAGCCCTTCTCTTCAAGGAGCCCGAAACCCGAACCATTACGTACAGGAACTCTTAAAGGAGCTCTAAACCCAAATCCTTCGGGGAGCTCTTAAAGGAACCCCAAACCTAAACCCTGACAGGAACTCTTAAAGGAACCCTGCATCCCAAACCCTTACAGGAACTCTTAAATGAACCGGAAACCCAAACCCTTAAGGGAACCGTCTAAGAAGGGATACGGCGGGTGGGCTCCAGCCTTGGACAGTCGGTCGAGAGCCTGACTGCGCTCGGCGTCCGCGGCCCGCAACACCTGCAGGCGAAGAGGAACCAGAACTTTTGGGGTGTTGGGCTTAGGGCTTAGACTTTGGGCATATGGGGGGGGGGGGGGCTTCGAGAAAGGCCTTCGGCAAGGAGTGTAACAAGGTCCACACAAGGGTGGGGGGGATTTGTAACGACACTACAGAGGTGCCGGGGGAATCGGGGGTTTCGGGCTCTGGGGTTTGAAGGTTTGGCGTTCAAGCTTTAGGCGTTTCGAGGTCTAGGTTTCGAGTCTCAAGCACTGGGATATAAAGTTTGGGAGGGGTGGAGGGAGGTGAAGGTTCAAGCCTTCAGCGTAGAGTTGTATGGCGTGAAGGTATCGTCTTCGGAGCACAGCAGTCTTCATTCGTCGACATCCACAAGCACCATCACCACCTCATCATCAACGCTATCATCATCACCATCATCACAATCATCATCACCATCACCATCATCATCAACACCATTACCATCATCATCACCATCAGTCTCATCCTCGTCGTGCTCGTCATCGTCAGCATCGTGAATGGTAGTTGCATGCAAACTCGCTGTAGAAAGGTATTGGAGATTCACAGATTCGCATCCCACCCACCCTAAAACCCAGGCTTGAACCCTCAAGCCTAAGCCCCCAATGCCCTCAACTCTACCCTTCCTGGCTCTAACCCACAGACCTTGAAAATCTCTGCAACACCTACAAGAACTAACGGCTCAAACCCCCTAGCACCGGCGCACCCTCACCACAGTCCCTCCCCCTCCCCACCACCTCAGCAAAAAAAACGGCGCGGCACCTCAAGCTTCGTTGATGTCTCCGTAGCTCGGCGCTCAAAGAGTTCCTTGCGGGCTTGATCTCCGAGTCACAAGGCTGCTATGGGGGGGTATGGAGGGCTCATCCCAAAAGCCCTTAACCTACCCAGAAACCCCTGAACCCTAAATCCCTAACCCTACATCTTAGTGGGATCAGTTTGGGGGCTTCGGCAGTTTGGAGGTTTTCGGGGCTTGACACCTTTGGCCTCGGGGTCTGTGACTCTGCGCTGGCTGAGGCAGGAGTCCTCAGCTGACCATGCCACCTCGTCGATACTTCGGTTAGGGCTTTGGGTTTAGGGTTTA